TGCTGCTGCTGCTGCTGCTGCTGAAACTGAAGCTTCTCCTCTCTCGTCTCCGTCATCAGATTTGCACCACCATCGACGGTAGTAGAACCACTCAACACCCAGAAAGCCATTTTTGCTATTTCTTCTTTTTTTTTTTTCTTTTGAGTCTTTTTTTTTTCCCCGCTGCCCTTCCCTTTGTTATTCTTCTTCTTTTTCCCCCCCTCGTCTGCTGCTCTTCTCTTCTTTCTCTTTGTTTCTTTTTCCTTTTTCTTTTTCTCTTTATTTATCTTCCCCTTGCAACTCCTCAAAGGATGAGGGAAGATAAAAGATGAATAGATCGGTTCTATCTCAACCAGAGAGCGGTGTCGGTCAAAGGGGCGGTGAAAATGGTGGTTGGAATTTTTTACCCTGCCTGTTTCATATCAAGAATCTGAAAGAGACAAGGAAAAAAGAATGATGAGGAAGAAACCAAAAGAAAGAACAGAGTAACAGATGAAAGACAAAACAACAAGAAGGAGAGATGTTGAAGGGAAAGAAAAAAAAGTGTGGAAAAAAAAAGAAAAAAAAAAAAGAAAAAGGAAAAAGCACCCAGAACAGATACAGGAAAAGAGGTCGTGGTCTGCAGCAAGTGGGGGAGACCCAAGGTTCGACGTGCATCGAGACTGCAGCGCCAACGTGGCCCTGGGACCCGACTTATCCTTTGCCTGACTCTGTTCTGCTCTTCTCCCTCTACTCCTCTCTCACCATGTCATCGACCCTCTGACTCTAATGCGGATGCAGGGGTCCCGCCATAAGATGCATATTCCTCCGTCATCAATTCATCTTCTGTCGTGGCCCCTCTCTCTCTCAATTGCATCTGCAGAACGATATAATCCCGTTGCCGACAACTCACATCTATTCCAATTGCTTCACACCCATCTCCCCCCCTCCTTCTCCTCCCGTTCATCATCATCACATTGCTTTTTATTTTTTTGTCTCTCTTCTCATCGAAGGGAGGGAGGGGAAAAAAAATCACACATGTACGGGCACGTACGATTGCATCTATGGCTCTATGTGTCATCGTGGGCCTGTCAGTGGTTGGCTTAACCCTTGCCTCTCGGATCGTCGTGGGGCGCCTGGGCATCCATCCGTCTCGGCCCAGTCCAGCCCAACCGAGCCCATCACACGCCAACAACGCCGGTACTACTCCCCGGTCATGATATCCCCATACATGCCAACTCTGTGATCCGATTCAGCGCGACATTGACATTGATAGACACCATGGGGGGTAACAGAACTCGTAAGGAGGGGCAGAGAATCACAAGTCCATCGGCGGGGCAGAACCGTCGTCTTCGAAGACTCACGCGTAATCCTGCCGCCTACAGTCCAAATGAGCTCCGAGTCCCCATCCCGAGGCCGCTCAGGAATCTCGCCTCGTTCGCTTGCCTCATCAGCGCCTCGTGCATCTGCTCCGAGTACTCCCGTCGAGCTTCTTCCTCGGCTGGCATATCCCCCTCCCGCCCGGCCACGAAATTCTCCTCCTCAAACAGGGGCGCAGACGTGAAGCTGACCAATCCCAGCCTCTCGCCCGTCCAGAAGAGGACGTTGTCGTTGTTTGGTCGTGCACGCCCGTGCTTGTGAGTCCGCGTCGACACCACCTTGCGCGCCACGTCGTCCAGGTGCGCCCCCGGCTTCTTGACCAGGTTGCCTGCCCCGTCGTCTAGCTTGCTGTGCCCCACACGTATCCGCCTGCACTCGGTGAGCCCATCCCTCTCGAACCACTTGATGTGGCCCGATCCGTCCGATATCACAATCTTGGTCCCGTGGTTCGTCACATACATGATGGGCGCCGGCGCCGCCGTGAACCGGTTCCTGGTGCAGAGATCCGCCGTCCGGTCCAGGCTGCCCACCACCGGTCGCGGCCCCACCCCGTAGAGCTCTAGGCTTCCCTTTTGGTTATAGCCCCCGCCCGCCATCAGCGTGCTGCCGCCCTGGGCCTTCATCTCCGCCAGGACGTCGGCCCCCAGCCCTGCGCTTCTCCTGGCCGGGTGGTTGGCCGGGTAGAAGGGGTACGGCAGCGCCGCCAGGCTGTTGACCGTCGCCCCCGAATGGATCGAGTTGACAATCGCCGGGAACTTGCGCCGGTCGTAGTGGAGGATGTTGGAGAAGCGCCCGGAGACGTAGATGTCGTCCGACACCTGCACGTCGTCGTCCCGCACCGGAAGGTACAGGATGCTCGTCGGCGTCGGCTGCGAGAGAGATGCGTACGGCGGCAGCGGGTTTGGGTCGAATATGGCCTTGAAGACGTCCGTATCCTCCCAGTCGCCGCTGTCTACTCGCTCCGGTGCGTCGCGGAAGCCTCGGATTCGTGTGCGGAAGTCGTGGAGATGCACTCCCAGAGACGTGCCCACCGCCAGCGGCCTGTCTGGGTGTATCGATGATAGTGTCGTGATGGACCATTCAAACGATTCTCGGCTCACCACGTCCAGACGGTGCAGGTCAATCTCGATGAGGCCTGGCAGAGGTTGGTTAGTCGGCCCGTCCTGCTCTTGACCTCTCTCCCCCCCGCCCGGTACGGCACATACTGCTCTGGACGGCCATGTAGGCCTTGTGGTTGACGTTGTCGATGCTCACGCGGTCGGAGATGCTCGAGTC